ACTGGTGATAGTAGTAATATATTGATAAGTGAACTAACATAAAATTTATTGTCAAGCAAATTTCTTTATTCTGTTTTTTTTTTTTTTTTGGTCATCAATGTTACAGAAAGAGAAAGCTAAGCACAGCTTTCTTTACATTGTAGTAACTATAATTTCCCATTCGTAATGTACATGAGCTTTATTGTCCAGTACTTTTACCAATTTGGCTGAGCCCCAGAGGCATAAACTTAATTAGGACTTTTTCCCTCTATGGATGCAGATATTTGGAGCATAAATCAGAGCTGATGTGCTGCTTGGCCTGTTGATGGACAAACAGGGCTAGAAATTTTCTTAGGAGTAAGCCATATATCCAGTTATTTTTCATTTAAAGAGCTGTTGGAGTGAAGTAGATAGACTAATTTTTTCTAAGACGGGGTGAACTAATTTCCACTAAATAGGATGAACTTCCTAAAATTTAGTACTAAACTATTTTTTTTCACTCTAACCTAAGGGTGGCTCCGCGTGCAAATCAGATGGCATGTCTGGCTAGGCGGAGGAGCATTGTCCTCCTGGTCCCCGTTGCGATGGTTTATTTGATGTGATTGTTAGCAGGATTGTAAAGAGAAATCTAAAATCATCTTCTTTATGAAAGAAATTAAAAAATAATAAAATAAATTGCTAGCAAAAGTTGACTCTTAAAGTCCGGCACCCAAGAAGCACTTTCTGTCATGTCACTTTCTTTTTTACAAACGTAGTCAAATATTTCCATCATTTTTTGAAGGTTTTTTTTTTTTAATCACAAATAGTCCTAGAGGTTTACGAAATTATCACTTTTCAATTTTATTTTTTTTGGTAACACCAATGGTTCTCAAGATTACCCTCTCCACATCAAAATAGTCCATGCCGTTAGTTTCCGGAAATTTTTTTGTTAAATTGATGACGTGGCACATGTGTGGAGCCCACACATCAAATGGTATAGAGCCATGTGGTTTTTCCTAATTTTAAAAAAAGCAAATGTACAATACTTGTATTGAAATTGTACATATGTATATTTCATATTTAATACACTTATTTTTTACAAAATTTTAAATAATACACACAACATTCATGTACTATATACATAATTCTCACATATTATTGAATGCAAATAATATATATTAAAATATTATATAGTAGCCGAACTTTTAAGTTCAAATTTGCCAAAATTTTGTTGAATAAAATAATTACGTATTTTATTCGTTTAGCCACACAGCTATACAAAGTTAATATTTACGAAGTATAAACTAATGCAACTAGGAGGGTCCTTCTTTCTTAATATTTTTTCTTAAAAAATAGTATAGCCGCACGGCGATACTTTGTATTTTTAATTTTTAAAAAGAAATTGTATAACCGCGCAGCCATACTAGGTTTTTTCCCCAATTTTTTTTTAAAAAAGAAATAGTTTAGCCGTCCGGTTATACTCTTTTTTCAAATTTTTTTAAAAACAAATAGTATGGCCGTGCGCGGCTATACTTGGGTTTTTCCTAATTTTTTAAAAAGCAAACATATAGTACTCGTATCGAACATGTGCATACTTATATTTTATATTTAATACACTTTTTTTTTTTATACAAAATTTTAAGTAATACACACAAAATTCACATATTATATACATAATTCTCACATATTATTGAACGCAAATAATTTATATTAAAATATTATATAATGGCCGAACTTTTAAGTTGTAATTTGCCAAAATTTTGTCGAATAAAACAATTACGTATAGCCGTGCGGCTATACCAAATTAATATCTATAAAGTATAAACTAGTGCAACTATGAGGGTCCTTCTTTCTTAATTTTATTTATTAAATCGTATAGCCGCACGGCTACACTCTGTTTTTTTATAAATTTTTGAAAGAAATAGTATAGTAGCCCAGGTATACTAATTTTCCCCCTTATTTTTGTAAAAAATAAATAATATAGCCGTGCTGTTATACTATGTTTTTTCTAATTTTTTAAAAGAAATGGTATAGCCGCGACGCTATGCTTGAGTTTTTCCTAATTTTTTACAAATCAAAAGTACAATACTCTTATCGAACATGTACATATATATATATATATTTCATATTTAATACACTTATTTTTTACAAAATTTTAAATAATGCACACAAGATTCACGTATTATACACATAGTTACCACATATTATTGAATGCATATAATATAAATTAAAATATTATATAGTTGCCGAACTTTTAAGTTGTAATTTGCGAAAATTTTATCAAGTTAAACAATTACATCGTATAGCCGTGCGGCTATAAAGTATAAACTAATGCAACTAGGAGGGTCCTTCTCTCTTAATAAATTTTTTTTGTCAAATAGTATAGCCGTGCGGCTATATCCAAACTGGTATACTCTGTTTTTCTAACTTTTTAAAATAAATAGTATAGCCGCACGGCAATACTTGGTCTCCCACTAATTTTTGTAAAAAACAGAGATAGTATAGCCGTTCGGCGATACTCTGTTTTTTTTCTAATTTTTCAGAAGACTTTTTTTCCTAATTTGTTTTAAAAAAGGAATCGTATAGCCGCATGGCTATACTCTGTGTTAGTATATCTGCGCAGCCACACTGGAAGGAAAGTTTTCGCTATCGACAATGCCTGATCAGGTTGTGTTCTATTTGGAAAGGCCTTCTCCTGGAGTTGACATTCTTAAAAAAATCAGTTATGGACTTCCAATCCCTTTTTACATCCTTGTAACGAAGCGCACGCGGACTTGGATAGGTCATGCCTAGATGATTGGTGACAAATTGAAACTCTTTTTGACATATCATATAAAGTATCTGCTTTTGTTCGGATCAGTGTGTGGTGGAGTATCTGCTTGAAATAATATATTTAAAGGCATATACGCTTCGAATAATATATTTAAAGAGTATAGTGGTGCGGCTATACTTTTTAAATAATATATTTAGTATAGCCGGGCGGCAATACCCTTAAAATGATATATTTAATAAGTATAGCCAAGCGGCTATACCCTTTAAATAATATATTTAAATGACAACATGCTATATTCTTTATATGGGTAATAAGTAAAAATTCAAAAGGGGACAATAGAAAGACTAAGGTAATGGCCTAATAGTAATGGACCTTTTTTTGGGGGGGGAATTAAAAGTACAGCCGCGCGGCTATACCATTTATTAAAATAAAATAAAATAAAAAACCCGCCTAGACCGCCTAGGCGGCTGATTTTTCAAAAATTTAAATGGCGTGTTTTTTTTTAGATTCCTTTTTTCCTAGCGGGTCTGGCATCTCTGCAAATACTCACAAATCAAATGGAGATCATCCCTCCTGTTGGTGATATGAGATGTGAATCATTCTTGGACAAATCAAAGCAGGACATAGCCTCTTCTTCAGGGTTGGTGCTGGGAAGGTCATTGTTCATCAGCTCTAAGAGATCCTTGGTTTCCATAAATTAGGGTGAACCGTGGGAGTTGCCTGCATTCAATCAATATCATCAGAATCAAATGACCAACTATCGCCGCTATTTCAATTTCGAAAGGAAAATCGAGGAGAAATCTGAGTTACAAGCAGTAAGATTTACTTTTTTTCCTCCTGTTTTTTAGCTGGCATGTATGTTTGGTGACTTAATGCATTATGTTGTTTGTTTTTTTATGGTTTTGGCAATGTTAATTATTCATATAGAATGCAGGCTCAGAGTTAGAGTTTATAAGAAATTATGATTCTTTGCCGTGTCTATAAGTTAATCACATGATGTATGCATTTTGCAGCTTCAGCAGTAGAACCTTTCTACAAGGAGATCCGTTTCTTGGAATTTTCAGGACTCTTGATCTTTTATCTCCTCTGTTGGTTATGTTGATGGTTCGTTTTCTCTATGCAAAGGAGAATTTGCAAGGCGTACAAAAACACCACAGCACAACGATGTGCCATGCTCAGTTTTGTTTTGGCGAGGATGGTAGAGTGCCCATGTGATAAGTTTGACACAACAGGTTCCTTATGCAACAACACATATAAAAGTGAATCAGGAGATGATTGCAGGTCAAAGCCAAAAAGGTGGCAGGCCTCTCGTCTCTGTTTTACATTTGTGATGTCGCAACTACCGGACAGTCATTCCTAAGGGAAAACCTCCTAGAGATAGTGTGACCACTTGAAGAATACTTAGCTTGCAGAATTTTCAAAAAGAAC